AATGAGGAAACAGAGCAGCCCTTTGCAAGATCGTTGGGTGAAGAGGAGGCAACATGGAAGGCCAGGTGGTTAACCAGTTAACCTGGCTGCACGGCAGCAGGGCTGTGCTGAGGCTGACAGGGGCTCTTTGCATGGCCAGCACGTGCGGGTCCGTGCATCTGCATTAACCTGCTGACCCCTTGCAAAAGCACCTCCACGTAGTGCCCTCCAGCGCTGCGCTCTCCTGCCCGTCTGCCTCTCCTGCAGCCTGGCTCTGCTCGCTGGAGAGCAGCTCGGGCACTGCTCAAACACAGAGCCTCACACACAGTCCTTCCTCCACACAGACAAGGGTGGCCACGTGGCTGTGCTTGCTGCTCCTGTCCACCACCCTCGGCACTGCTCTCAGCCCAGTATCTTACCCCTGTCCAGGACCAGACGTAGCTGGAGGTGCCCAGGCAGGCTGGGCAACACTTGTGTGCACTCAGTCTCTCACATTTCACCACACAACCTGCAGCCCGGGAGAGGTGATGGCTAAAAAGGGCGGGAATCTGATGAGATATTCCCTGATAGTCTATTTGATACACAAAGAGGGGCAAAAGCAAGCACTCAATACCACGTCAGTGATGCACACAGAACGGGCTGCTTTCTTCTACACATTTCTGCATTTCTGAGACAGTTTGAGCTGCCAGGCCACATCACATTCTCCTCTGCACAAGAATCACCTCTCACTATGTATTTCCTCTCTGACAGGAAGGAAAAGCGAGCTCTCCCCTCCTCACTTCTCCTCCCAAGGTGCGGTTCTGGCTGTTTAGGACGGAGGTTGACGGCTCCAGGTTACACATCTGCTCCCAGGCTAGCTCTGCTCTGCAGGTTTTATCTCCATTTCAAGGCTATCCACTTTTTCTTCAGTGGTGAATAACTTTATCCCCCTGAGCACCATAAACTTCTACAATTGCAGTAACTCACAAACTGGTATGGGTGGTTATAAAATCATGTCTTAAATTAGGACAGCAAGAAGCTGAGATTGGAAGAGTAGGAGGAAATCAGGAAATCCCAGGGGAAAGAGATGGAGGAGGGATTTAGTCTCTTTAGAAAACAATAACGCAGTTTAATCTATTTTTCTTTTGACTTTACACACTAAAATAAGCTTCTCAGCTTCTGGGGCTGTCACAAATCACAAGGAAAATAAAGCTACTGGAACCCCATCAGTAGAGCAAGAGCTATGTAGCAATAATCCTGAGGAGCTGTGCAGGGCATTCTATCTTCAAAGTGTTTTACAGACAGTAATTCATTAATCTGTAAATTTCCCCTGGCCATAAGTAACTATTCTGCCTTTCTACTGAGTGCAAGAGAGACTTAAAGCCCAAATTGCCACTTCACAGGGACTGGGAAGGAGACAGCTCTGACCTCCGGAGCCTGATCGTGGTTTCTGGTGCACTGTGGTCAGAGTCAGATACCCTAGCATAAGCCTGAATCCAGAACTACCGGTGATGTCTGGTGTTTTGGTCCTAATTTTGGAGAGAATAAAACCACTAGCAGTCCCTGGTATTGGAGACTGTAACATCTACTCACAACTCGGCACATCAATAACAAAGCCCCAAATAAAACTCCCAGAGGGTTCGGCGGCTCCAGGCTGCCTTACAACAACTGTTTGCCACGGATGGGAGTGTTAAATCAGTGCAGAAGCTGGCCCCACTCCTGGGCTCATCCTACCATAAAGCCTGGCTGGAAACACCCAGGGGAACACAGGAGTTTCCTATGCAAACACAGAGCTTCCTAGCTGAAGGATTACTTCTGTACAGCAGCTACTTGTTAACATTAGATGGCTCCATTAGATAATCAGCGCTCAGCACAAAGCGATTCTTTCCCTCCTAGCAGCAGCATTTTTCTGCCTTTGCCCAGTCCTTTCTAATTCCCAAGACAATAACTCTAACAGCGATTCCCTCCTGAGGAATCACCCTGCAAAAGCTGCAAGTCCCTGAAGAATAAGACAGCAGAGAGAAAACGCTGTGTGGAGCACACTGTAGTCCCATCCTTAAAACAAGACACCATCAAAGACAGGTCAGCTGTGAGGAAAAACAAACAGATCAAACATTTCCTTATTCATACTATGTTCTTCGACTCCCTTTTTACCTCTTTAAAGCCAGTATATATCTACATCACTCTAGTACTGTCAAAGAGATCATTGTAAAACCAAATTTGGGTACATGGGCTCCTTTGCCATCCTTGTCTAGACATGAAATATCTAGGTTCATTAAGCATCCTACAACACAAGCCTTATTTCCATCTTAAGGATGGCTTAGCTGAGACGAGAGAAGCAGTAAGACTCTGAACACCACTGCAAACAATGCCCCAAAGGTCACAGGTAAGGAATTCACAGCAGGGCACTGCAGATCAGACGCACTTTCAAGACCAGAAGAGATCTCCCCGAGAATACAGCATGAGTTAGTAGTAACATTAAGCACAAATTCAATCCCAGACTCTTTTACTCCGAATTAAACAGATCACACCTCTTTCTCTTTCAACTTGCAGCTCTCTTTCAGCAAATGATTTTGCTCCAGCACCAGCCTCTGCACAAGGCAGAACAGCAGAACCAAAAGGAAGGCTGTTTAATGCCATGGTGCTGCAGTCAAAATTTTGGGGAAAAAAGAAATGCAGGTGTGTCACTCCCATGGAGAGCAGGGTGAAACACAACACTGAAGCTCTCTGCCATGCTGCCAGGGGGACAGTCAGACACACCGACTAAGATGGATGCAAAGGCTTTATTACAGCTGGAGCAGTGTTGATTTTATAGCTGGAATTTTAATAAGTGTTGGCTCTTCATCACACTAAGCACAGAGAGCTCAGGATTGAGTACAGTGGGAAACCCTGGCTCAGGACAGTTGGGTCAGTGCCGCCACATGTGCAGCATGCGTCAGGAAGGAGCATTCACAGGGACAGGGAGCAGAGGCAGCAGCAAAGGACACCAGGATTGCAGCCTCCCCAAACACACTGCCAGCTCCAAAGCCACGGACCAAGAGAATACATCCTTTGGTCAATATAACAATGCCCGGGCAAAGTAACAAAAGTAACATCTCTCGTATGAAGAGATGATGGGAATGGAACATCTCTCGTATGAAGAGAGGCTGAGTGAGTGGGGCCTGTTTTCTCTGGAGAAGAGACGGCTCAGAGGGGATATGATTAATATGTATAAGTTCAGGAAGGGAGAATGCAGGGAGGAAGGGGACAGGCTGTTCTCACTGGTGGCCAGCGATAGGACGAGGGGTAATGGCCACAAGCTGAAACACAAGAAGTTCCATCTCCAGGTGAGGAGCAACTTCTTTACTGTGAGGGTGACAGAGCAGTGGAACAGGCTGCCCAGGGAGGTTGTGGAGTCTCCTACTCTGGAGGTCTTCAAAACCCGCCTGGATGCCACCCTGTGCCACATGCTCTAGGTGTGCCTGCTTGAGCAGGAAGGTTGGACTAGATGATCTGTAGAGGTCCCTTCCAACCTTAAATATTCTGTGAATCTGTGAATCTGTAACTAGAATAACCAAAATGCAGGAAACTCCACAGATCTCATCAAGTGAATGACTCCGCAACCCTGCTTTATGACAGAAGAAATCCTGTTGAAACAACAAATCTGAAACCTTCCACAGGTCTGCACAGAAATCCTCTCCTGAAGGAGGAATATTTAAAAAAGCACTGGGTACCTCACAGAAATGCACCAGATCAGCTGGCACAAGTCAGTGTCACCCAAACGCCAAGATGCTCCTTTTGCAGCTTTTTGAAGCAACTGGTTCAGTTGCAACTACTTCCTATTTCTGAAATACCCTTAGATGACTGCGCTTGGGGTGTCACCTCACCACCTCAGCAATGGGAGGGCATTGCGCTGCTGGAGAGCATCATGACGCAGAGCAGGAGGGCACGTTCAGAAACACACGCAAAGTGGGGAGCTCCCAGGGGAGCAAGAGCAACCTCCACAACTGGCTTCCCTCTTTCCTAGGCACTCTGATCGCATGGAACTCAGCAGCAGAGACCTGGCCATATATTCTTTCCACTTTGATGTTTCTCCATTGCTCAACAGCTCCACAATTAGCCAGGATTTGCTATACCCTATTAATGACTACACCAAGTAGGTCAGTAGTGTTATGGCAACCTAATGGGAAAGAAAAGCCTCCCAGAGCTCAGCCTCTGTGCCGAGATGGCCCTTGCCGAGATGCCTGCCACAAACCTGGCTCTGCCAGCTCAACCTGGTGCAAGACGCAGCGATGTAACTGGTCCAAACTGGGCATTGCAACAGATCTTCAGAGGTGCATGTACTCACAGGGGCCCCGGCTGAAGCCCCTTTTCAACCCGCGGTGCTCGTCCCTCATAAAGCCGCTGCCTGTTCTCTGCTCCCTCCCTCTTTCCCCTCGTGCCGTGTCCCTTCCGCCCCCGAGGAGGAGGTCCAGCGCCGCGGCCGCACAATCTGCCTCTTCAGCCGCGCTCGCCTGGACGCGGGCCAGGGGCGCCGCGAGCCTGACAGCATATTTCCTGTCAGGAAAGTGACTCAGAGAGGCAGCTCTGAGAGCGCAGCTTATTCAAGAAGTTCCCTTCTCCCCGCGCGTTACTGAGGCGTGAGTCAGAACTCGAGAGCCGGAATTTCAGCCCCCTCCGGTGCCAGGCACGCAGGGCAGATTTCAGGCTCAAGCCCAGGTCCTGCTGGTAACTCGCCGACGAGCTGCTGCCCCAATGCAGAGCCCGGGTTTCACTCCTTGCAGACAGAGGACATCATTCTTAGCCAACCTGAATTTCCAAAGTGCTTTGAGCTGCTGCTTACTCCCATCTATTTGCTTGTAGAACCATTCGTACCATACTCATAGCCATTACATGTGAGCATTATACAGCACATAAAAAAAAAGACAAAAAGTTTTTATGCATTTTCCACAAGCATAGGACCGTTTCACCCAGGATTACTGTAAATGCTTAAAATTACTTTGGCTAATTTTATGCTTTAAGAGCAGCTCTTCCCATGAGAAGCAGGCATGCCACATCCTTACCAGAGCTGCTGCTGAGGGCAAGCATACACAGCCAGAGAGTAACCGGCAGGGCACCAACCATCTTCATCCTGTTGACAAAAAACACACACAAGGAGGTTCTGGTTATTTTACAATGTTTTGTCACTGCAGAGAATTCCCTCACTTCGAGCGTACATGTTTATTCCTATGACCTCCCATGGATCCTTTAATTGTGGTATATTCTTTATTTATTTCATTACAATTCCTAATCAAGATTATTCATCAAGAAAGTGTTTTCCAGAAATGACCTGAACAAGGGCTTATGTTTCCAACGCAGCACCTAGAGGCAGGCAGAAAACTATTCCCAGATTGTTTTTCATACCATTCCCCAGGTCCTACTACAGAGTACAAGTTCCTGTGGTTTCACACAAATGTAGGCCACCAGTTTCACTTGCCCCATGCTATGGTATTTGGCATTATGACTTGCGAGCTGCTTACTCACTAGAATAAATTTTGCTTCTTTAAAAAAACAAAGAAGAAAAAAAAGAAAAAAAAGGTACAACCTATAAGCCGCTAGTCACAAAAGCTGACATATTGCTAGATGCTCTCATTAACAGCACGGAGGTTACACTGGATAGTCCTGGGTGCTGTCAGATCACAAGGGCAGGAAAGGTGGCTAAAAGGCTAAATTTCATTAGAGCATCTCAACTCTGCCAGGCAGATGTGGTAATGAGGACAGTGATACTGTCCCGAACACGCTCATGAGATGACAGGGAAACCTGCTGCATCAGGATGTGCTAAAACAGTGAGGAGAGAAGCCATAAAGTTCCCTAAAATATTAAAACATGTACCTTATAAGCATGTGTAATATATACACTACACAAAAGGTCCTCAAACATAAGCAGAGAGCCCCTAAGACCACACAGGTTGCAGATTTTGATGGGAATGGGATGTATAAACCATATTACTGAAAATCCTTCACTGAATTCATTTCCAGATGGGATTCAGCTGAGAGGTTGGGTCTTCCCCTGCTTCTTTAATCCAAACCAGAATGCCAGCTGCTAATCAAATCCTCCTTTACTGTGATCTACAACCAATTCCCAGTGTCATACAGGAAGACTCCATGGAGAGGAAACAAAATCAAGTATTCCTACCCTCTGAAAATGCTCAAGAAAGATAAAACATCTTTCTGCTGTAAGGCTGAACAGAGAGAACCAACACACTGCATCTTTGGTTCGGAATTTAGGAACTCTGGGGAATTTGGCTGCTGAAAAGGAAGAAGTGTAAGCAGGATGGGGGGGGAGATCATTTTCATAATAAAGATTCCCAATGGTTCTCTCTCCATTGGTTATTAGATGAATGGATAGTGTGCCCTAACTCACCCTTATTTTCCACTAATTCTCTCCTACATTTGCACAGATCAGACTGAATTCAGCCCTCAAGCCAGCAGGAACAAGTACTGCCTTTGGATGAGTTCCTCTCGTTTAGAGCTAGGCCATTTATGTGGCCTGAGGCCAAAATAAACTATTACGCTTTACACAGCGATACATGAACTCTGCAGTGAGCTAATATTTACATCCATTAACTATGCTCATAAGACCAGGCTCTTTGCAGCAGACTTAACAGAGGTGTCTTGCTGCGACTTTGATCAAGGTGCTGTGCAAGGTATCTAGCACTTCCACACCCTAGCCACTAGTTTGGAAACTCTTGTTTTTAATTTTATTGCTGGATAGAATAAGAAGCGCTGCAGAGCTCGTTTTACTTCTGGCTCATTCTAGGCTCCTCCAGGAAGATCTTATCAATGGAGACAGATGGACGCAGAGCTTGTCAGATTACAGCAATTTCTCTATTATGGGAATGGGACTCATTTGACCATGTCCATGGCTGCTCTGACACTTTACAAAATATAACAAAGTATAAAAGCCTGTGGAAAGGACACAAGCAGAACCATAGGCTGACCAAGGGGAACAATCTGCATCTCCTGGATGTCCTGCCCATGCCACCACGTACCATCTGAAATGGAAGGAAGAGGCTTCTCCTCTCTTGATTAAGAAAGGGTGAGCTCTCGGACCACAAAAAGCATCTGTTCTTTTGCAGAGAAGTGGAGGGGATGTTGTAACACTGTAAGAACATGATGCCATAGGACTACGACCCACCCCAGCCTTGCCAGAAATGCAAAAAATTTCTTAGTCTCTTCCTGCAACTGCAGCTTTGTTTCGTGACACCGAAAAGCATGATGCCATCTTGCCTGTGTGTGATGAAACTGCAGCAGTGCCGGGCTTACACGATTTCACATCACTGCTCTGAAACACCAGACTTCCAGCTGCAACCAAAGGAGACAAAGTTCAGCAAGTGCAAATCCCAATCGGCAGTGGCTGCATTCCCCAAAAAGGTCACAGAGCTCACATCCAGGGTACAGGCAAGTAAAATACAAAGTAAATACTAAAGAGAACTCGCAGCAAGCTAGTAAGCAGATGCCAGATCAGAAACCGTACCACAGCTAGAAACACAGATAATGAGGGCTGCCAGAACAAGACTGAGTAGCTCAGATACACTCTCAGTGCTCCCAGAACATCTCATGAGACCAGCACACTCTCAGGTGATTTTAATGACTCCATAAATTCATGTTTTAATAACAGAAACATTGGGGGAAATAATTCATTTCTCTGAGATACACATTTTAAAGAAAACTTGAAATATTAATTTTATTTTAAAATTGAAAATGGTTTTGATTTTTTTCCAGAATATTTTTCTCTCTCAGAATATTTTATCTCCACATTTAGCAATGTGGACCCCACAAAGTCTTCACACTTTCCAAATAATTTTAAGAACTAAGACAGATGTCAAGTAATTAATGGAGAGAGTGGCAGTGAAAGTAACTATGGCACATTTATTCTCAAAGATATCACTCTAGTTCTAAAGAACAATACCGCATTTTTTTTTCGAGAAAATACCTTTGTCCTTTCTAAACACGGATACCTATAGAGATCTGACAGAATTTTTGCTTTTCACTGAGAAGTCACACTACCCTATGCAGAACAAAAGGACCCTTCAAAACCTTGCTACTAAGTGCTCTGTCTGAAAGGGCATTTAAAATAACAGAAAAGAGGAAAGAGGAAAAAAATATCACCATTCAAACGGCCAGAGCAGGTTTTGCATACAATTTCTGTCATGTAATTCTGTCCCCCAGAGTCAAAGGGATTTGAGCTTGCAGGACCATCTCCCAAAGCAGGGAGACTGATAGGGGACAGGTGAGCTTAGGAGTTGTTTTATTTTCTAAAATGCATAGACTTGAAAGCATCTAGTCATGGTGTTGGCAGAGCCAAGCAGCACAAGGTCCATCTCTACTAGCCCTTCCTGCAGCAACCAGGGCTTTGCAGCACATCCAAGCTAGTGAAGTCTGCTCCCTCCTTCTGCACTTGGTTTGGCAGCAGCGGGGATGTGCTGCAGGCTGGGACTCCGCTCCTCTTCTCTCACGGCACTGCATGCACTGAGCCTAGATCTGTGCATCTGCACATAGATGCGTCGGAGAAGGCTGCTCGATGAATTTGCTGGGTTTTCTTACAAGGAAAATATATGTATGGTCAAAACAAATTAAAAGAAGCCAAAAGGCAGACAAAAGACAGGCAGCAAAAGCAGCTGCAGAAAAGTAATAGAAAAACGCTAATGTAAACTGGGAAAAGGCCCTTCAGCCCTCCAGGAAACACTCTTTTTTTTGAGTATGTGCAGGGGTTGGTCAGACAATGCCTGGAATTATTGTAGCACAAACCATCTTGGTGCCATTTAGTGGGGATTTGCAATAGCTTCGCTTTGACCCTGCCTCTTTTCTGGAGGCAATTTGGTCGCTGAATGGCACTGCTCTTTCTTACACATTCAGTGTTTTCACTCATATCCCTCCCCAGAGCAAATCACTCCTGTATTGAGCTTGCCCATCCTATGGAAAGTCCTGAGCAACATAACGTTTCACTTAAATCTCACAAAGACACAGGTAGGGAGAAACACGACAGTTTTCTAAGTCCAGCTTTCCTTTGCAGAAGAAAGTTGCACATTCGTTAACATTTGGCTTCCTAGGCTGCTTCTCAGAAGGGAATAAGGGGAAGAGATCAGCAGCAATTTGGTGGTAAATACAGCAAAGTGCTCACTGCGCTTCCCTGTCTACCTGCACTCTTCTCCACACTCCTCATTTCAGGTACAGGTAGGCAGGCCAACAAGGGCCCCAAACACCCTCCTCAGAGGCACAGTCGCATCTCTCCCGAGGGCAGAGAGCCCAGTTTGTCTTGGCACCTGATCCAGAGCAGCCAGACACATTTCAGCAGGAATCAGCCAGGGCTGCAATCTGGCCCCGGATCAGGGATACAGTGAGAACGGGAGAGTGACCCCAACAGCGTGGCTGATGGCGAGACACAGCGAGGCCAGGGAGCTGCGAGATTGATGCCAACGTCCCGCTTTTGCTGAAGTCTTTGTGCGTTACCTTCGGCCGTGCCCACAGCTCCTTCTGAATCAGCCTTGCTGTCTGCGGGAACGGAGGGAGCTGCTCACCAGGGCGTTGTGCGTACGGCTCGAGAGTGGGCTGAAAGCACTTTGCTCTGAAATGTTTCCATTCCAAAAGCAATTTATATCATCAAAACCAAACAAAAAATTCAGATTTTAGCAAACTGAAGCTTTCTCGTCAACTGAAAGTGATTGTTTCACAGCAAATATTATACACTTGATTTGGAAAGGAAAAAAATAATGAAGCTAGTGGGAGTGAGATGGAAAAGCTACCTTAGTGACAGGTCTCTTGTCATCGCAGGCACAAAGCCAGGCCCTGGCCAGGGCTCGTACAGGCCTGGAAGTGACGCCTTCCTGCAGTTGGGACCAGCAGTGCCCACAGTCTTCATTCTCAACTCTGTTGGATACCCAAAATTTGGCGGATGGATGCTTAGTTGGAAAAAGAAACCTTGGGAGCACCAGCTGGGTCACTGCGCCAGCCAGGGGACCACAGTGGGGCGCCCACGGTGGCCTCCGTGACCACCCACGACCACCGCGGCCTATCCCTGCTCCTCCGCCCCACGTATCCAGGCCGCAGCTCCGGTCTGCTGGCAAGAGCCGTCCGTGCCCAGCGTGTGAT